GAAACAGAAAACGAAGCAGAAAAATGTGACATTTTCATGTCTTATATATTTTTTTACAGATAGAATGGACATTTCGTATCTATCATCTTCATCCGTAGAATCCGCCACGATATCCTCCGTATCCAAAGCCCCCGTATCCGTAGCCACGACCTCCGTATCCGTATCCAAGTCCGCCCAACCCGTATCCACCATATCCCAATCCACCGAAGCGACGGTAGCCGGGGTCAGCCACGGGGTCAGGGTCAGCTACAGGGTCGGGCATGGCGCTGCTCCAGCTCAGCAGGCATGCCAGGGCCACCACCAGGACCGCAACCATCGAGAACTGAAGGCATGAAAAGATCCAATAATAATGATAATAATAATAATAATATTGATAATGATAATAGCTAAAGTCATGGAAATATGTAAAATTAATTATCAGTCTATGCCTAGGAAATGATACGTACACTCGTATTTCTATTGGTCATTTAAGCTTCTAAAAATGCAAGAGGAACTTGATTTCAGGCCAATGGCGGGTTAGTATACGTAAATACAATGGTGCTTTGGTTACAAAGCAACAGAACATCAATGCGGACGTATATCATTGTAGCCTCGTTATTTTTAGGATTATCAACCATGAGCCAGTAATATTAAAAAGGTATTAGCTCACTCACCTGTTTCATGTTGAGAGTAAGATCTTACTATGTACTCAGCGAAGGAAGCCAAGACTATGCTCCTAACCCTCGTTGGGTCCAGGCTTTTATAGGGTGCAAGACAGTAGCACTCACGCGTTCACTGTTTCCGGAAGGTCCTTGAGCAACGTTGGGAGGTCCACCTTAATTCTTTTTATGTCCTAAAAGTAATATCCCTCACTTTTTATTTGCGAATATAGCCACACAGACTTGCACACAAGCACATTTATTGGTATGCACACACACACATACATACACATATATATCTAAACGTAATGTCCCTCACTTTTGTTTGCGAATATAGCCATACAATCTTGCACAGAAGCACATTTATGGGTGTGTATATACATATATGTGTATATAGACATGCAACACATAGGAGCAAAATATTCTATTAACATGAATTTCTATTTGATTAAACCATGAGACTCACATCTGTACAAACGCAAACATACAGACAAATGTTTTTACTTTTTGTTTTCGTTTCGAGTTTAAATCAAACGGCAGAAATATGATATACTGAAATGTTGATTGAGTATACGTGGCTCTTGATTGTATTTAGCTGCTTCCGTTGTATCATGGGTCCCTTTAGTCCTGCATACATGGTATAGGTGTCTATATTTTTAACTATCTGTCCATATACTCAGATATTTGTTTATTTCTATAACTGTTGATTTCTGTCTATTTATCCATCTTTCTATATGTCCTCTTTGTGTGTGTGCGTATGTATATATATTCCATGTAGAATATAAACACTGATAATCAAAACAATGATATGATTAATAAGGTTAGAAAGGTTGCTAGAAGCTAATATTCATTTGGATCATTAGATTTTTGCTTTAAAAGGCAAATGATATTTCTTTAAAAAATAATTGACTCGATCATTCAGGGTATTTCACTTCAATTTACCTTTATCCAGTTAAAGTGAGGTTAATGATAACGGTGGACATTCATACATACAGCATATTTCAAAAGTACTGGAAGGGAACATATTTAAAGTACGATAGGGTAGGAGTCCGGTATTGGAAACATCTTTATCAATACGAGCCAAGGTGGTATCCCGGTATTCGCATCCAATACGCCCTTAACCTTATTCACTACATCAATATCTATCGAAGAGACGGCAGTGAGAGTAAGCCTTGGGATAAGAGTTAACTACGTTGTCAGGCTCAGGCATGGCAGTGGTTTAGCCTACAGCCACCGCCAGGACCCCAACCATCTAGAGATGAACATTTAAAAATTGTTTGCGTCGGTGCTTAAGAAATGTGAAATTCGTACTGTACTTGATATAATTGTAACTATATATATATATAAACGTACGTATACACACAAACACATATATAGATATAAACGTACACACAGACATATATCTATAAACACGTTATTTTTTTCCGAGTTCAGCATACGAAGAAAACTTTAATAATTATTAGAATAGAGTGCAGTTGATGAAGTAAATAAAATCCCATGACGAATACCATGTTTGCACTTAGCAGTAATTATTGTTACCGATAAGAATCATTATAACTGCATGTAATAAATACCTGAAAATAAAGTAGATATGACAATGCGATTTCCTTCTTGTTTACTCGCCAGTCTCATGTTGAGAGTATGATCTGTTGCGCACTCAGCAAAAGAAGCGACAATCATGCAGATACAACAGGTCTCATCTTACTTAGCAAACTCGGGTAATATTTTCCGGAAAGTCCTTGGGAATTACGGAAAGTCCTCCTTTAAGATGGATTTTCAGCAAAAGATCAGTGCTTTTTATACTACACGCACACACACACATACACATATATGTATATATATATACACGCATGTATGTATATATTCATATGTTCACACACACATACACACACATTTTACTGTATGTCTTTAGCTATCTATGGTACATATATTCATATATACCTATGTATAATTTTAATTTCATTCACAAAGAAAGAATCACACTATATGTAGGTGTGGAAATTGACATGAAACAAAGACAGATACATATATTGTCAATGAAATTAAAGAAGCAAAATAATCGAAACTTTTATGCATTTGTCTGTGCAGAAAATCGAGCTTCACTCAAAAGGAAGCTCTCACTGTTATACATCTTTCTACCAGTCTGTGTATGCATATAGACACATACATATGTGTTTGTATATGTATACATTCATATTTCATACACGTACCATGTAATTAGATTGTTTCTTTCTGGTCAATGTGTTCCATCTATTTAATTATCCTTCCAGTATTATTTAGTATTAATTATTATCAATTAAAAATCGCAAATGTACCATTTCATCTACATACCTTTGCGTGTAAAAAAGTGTATAAAGCACCTCTTCCGTTGTTATTAGTTTTAATTTATATTTCTCTACTTTTTTCAGTATGTATACACATATGTGTATAGAAATTAATTAGACATATTGATGTATAAATACGCATATTTAGTAATATCTACACGATCATACTCCTACGTAAGGATAATCATACCTTTAAAATCTTCATTCATAGACTTTAATTTAGATGAAACAGAAAAAAAAAATACAGATCGGTACAAGGACAGTTGTGTTTATCTTCATCCGTAGAATCCGCCACGATATCCTCCGTATCCAAAGCCCCCGTATCCGTAGCCACGACCTCCGTATCCGTATCCAAGTCCGCTCAAACCGTATCCACCATATCCCAATCCACCGAAGCGACGGTAGCCGGGGTCAGCCACGGGGTCAGGGTCAGCTACAGGGTCGGGCTCAGGCATGGCGCTGCTCCAGCTCAGCAGGCATGCCAGGGCCACCACCAGGACCGCAACCATCGAGAACTGAAGGCATGAAAAGATCCAATAATAATAATAGTAATAGAGATAATAACTTATGTTTAGTATACGTAAATACAATGATGTTTTGGCTACAAAGCAACTGATCATTATTGATGTATATCATTATTCTCATTATTTTTAGGATTATGAACCATGAGCCATGAATATTAAAAAGGTATTAGCTCACTCACCTGTTTCATGTTGAGAGTAAGATCTTACTATGCACTCTACGAAGGAAGCCAAGACTATGTTCCTAACCCTCGTTGGGTCCAGGCTTTTATAGGGTGCAAGACAGTAGCACTCACGCGTTCACTGTTTCCGGAAGGTCCTTGAACAACGTTTGGAGGTCCACCTCAATTCTTTTGATGTCCTAAACCTAATATCCCTCACTTTTTATTTGGGAACATAGCCACACACACTTGCACACAAGCACATTTATAGGTATGCACATACACACACACACACAAATATAATATCCCTCACTTTTTGTTTGTGAATATAGCTATACATTCTTGAACACAAGCACATTTATGGGTATGTATACACATATGTCTATACAGACATGCAAACACACATGAGCAAAAAAAATATTCTATTAATATGCATTTCCATTTGATTAAAATATGAGACTCACATCTGTAAAAGTGCAAGCGCAAACAAACGAACATAGGCTTTTACTTTTTATTTTCGTTTCGAGTTTAGATCAAACGACAGAAATATATACTGAAATGTTGATTGATATACATACCCCTAGATTGTATCCAGCTACTTCCTTTGTATCATTTGTCCCTTTAGTTCTGCATGTATTGTATGTCTGTCTTTTTATCTTTTATCTATCTGTCCATATACCTATCCGTTTTTCTCTATCAGTATACTTATCCATCTGCATATGTCCTGTATGATGACTACTGGTATTGGTAATTGCTTTAGAAGGAAAAGAAAGAAAGGAGGAAAGAAAAAATATGTATTCCATGTAAAATATATACACTGAGAATAAAAACAATGATTTCAGTGATAAAAAGTGATAAGGATGCCAGAAGCTAATATTCATCTGGATCGTTCAATTTTCGTTTTGTAATGTAAATAGAATTGCATTGAGAACTTTATTGACTAAGTAATTCAAGTTATTTTAGTCCAATTTAGGTTAATGATAACGGTAGATGTTCACTCACACAGTATATTTAAGAAGTACTAGAGGATAAGCATTCGCAATGACCTTTCCAGTAATTTTAAGTACGAAAGGTAGGAGTTGGTTATCAGAAATATCTTTATTCATAGGAACCACGACTTCCGTAACCGTATCCAGCGAGGAGACGGTAACCGGGGTTAGACAAGCGATTAAGGTCAGTAGTACACACACACATATACATACTCACATATATACATATTTAGCGATATATGTACGTATATCTATCTATACATATATATCTATGTACAAACTTGAAACACATACAGACATTCATCTAAACCTAACAAATGAATACACTTTATATGCATATATATGTATGATATATATTATATGTATATATATACATATATACATAGGGTTGTCATTCATAGACATACATGTAAACTGTTAACAGACACATACATACGCAAAAATATTCATGGATGGGTAGATAATAGATTTGCTTTTTTTCTGCCTTCAAAGCCATAAGGATGAATATGTAAATAGAGTGTGTCTTATCATAGCTACATACACGTTTGGAGGGGAAATAATGACTCAGTATGTTGGAAATAATTACGAGGATCCTTATACACGCATGTCCGTTTATTAAGGATCCAGAAGGCTATTTGGTCCTCGAGTCAGTGAGGGAGACATATTCACGACACTAATGAATTAATATGGACAATTGTCTTAGTGATTTCTGGTTCGATATTCCTGATGTATATGTATTTTTCTTTTTTACATGAAAAAAAACTAATGGACGTGAGATTTTTTTTATGCAATGATTTGAAATATTTTTTCTTACAACTTTCTATTGTTTTCTCCCGTCTCTCCACTCTTTTCCTGCAACCTTCGTAAAACCAATTAGAATTGTTTCTCTATTTTCATTTATTTGTTACATTAATTATCTGTACTTGTCATTTATTCATTTTAGTTGCAGTAAATATATACATATATATTAATACATGATAATCAGATATAGATGTATAAATACGCGCATTCTGGATTACTCCTAAGTAAGGATATTCATACCGTAAAATCGTTCACAGAGTTTATTTCAGAAGAAACAGAAAAGAAAACAGAAAATAAGGTAAAATTCTCATGTCCAAAAATCTACAGATCTCCGTAGTCATATCTAGCAGCTTCATCCGTAGAATCCGCCACGATATCCTCCGTATCCAAAGCCCCCGTATCCGTAGCCACGACCTCCGTATCCGTATCCAAGTCCGCCCAAACCGTATCCACCATATCCCAATCCACCGAAGCGACGGTAGCCGGGGTCAGCCACGGGGTCAGGGTCAGCTACAGGGTCGGGCTCAGGCATGGCGCTGCTCCAGCTCAGCAGGCATGCCAGGGCCACCACAAGGACCGCAACCATCGAGAACTGAAGGCATGAAAAGATCCAATAGTAATAATAATAATAGAGATAATAACTGAATACGTAAATCCAATGTTTTGGCTACAAAGCAACAGATCATTATTGATGTATATCATTATTCTCATTATTTTTAGGATTATCAACCATGAGCCACGAATATTAAAAAGGTATTAGCTCACTCACCTGTTTCATGTTGAGAGTAAGATCTTACTATGTACTGAGCGAAGGAAGCCAAGACTATGCTCCTAACCCTCGTTGGGTCCAGGCTTTTATAGGATGCAAGACAGTAGCACTCACGCGTTCACTGTTTCCGGAAGGTCCTTGAGCAACGTTGGGAGGTCCACCTCAATTCTTTTTATGTCCTAAACCTAATATCCCTCACTTTTTATTTGCGAATGAAGCCATACAGACTTGCACACAAGCACATTTATAGGTATGACACACACACAGAAATATATATATATAAACGTAATATCCCTCACTTTTTGTTCGCGAATACAGCCATACATTCTTGAACACAAGCACATTTATGGTTATGTATACACTTGTGTATACAGACATGCAAATACACATAGGAGCAAAGTAAATATGCTATTAATATGCATTTCCATTTGATTAAAACATGAGACTCACATCTGTAAAAATTACAAGCGCAAACACACGAACAGATATATGATATACTGAAATGTTGATTGAATATGCATACCCCTTGACTGTATCCAGCTACTTCCTTTGTATCATTTGTCCCTTTAATCCTGCATGCATGGTGTATCTGTCTTTTTATCAATCTATCCATATACCTATCCGTTTATCTCTATTAGTATACTTATCCATCTACATATGTCCTGTATGATGACCACTGGTATTGGTAATTGTTTTAGAAGGAAAAGAAAGAGAGAAAGAAAGAAAGAAAAAAAAATATACCAAGGAAAATATATACTCAGAGTAAAAACAATGATTTAAGTGTAAAAAGTGACAAGGGTGCTAGAAGCTAATATTCATCTGGATCATTCAATTTTTGTTTTATAATGTAAATATAATTGTTTTGAAAACTTTATTGACTAAGTGATTGATGGTATTTTAGTCCAACATATTTTCATCTATTTAAAGTACAGTTAATGGCAACGGTAGATATTCATCCATACAGTATTTTCCAGAAGTAATAGAAAGTAAGAATTCGTGGTGACCTTTCCAATATTTTTTAAAAGTACGATGGGCAGGAGTCAGTTAACAGAAATATCATTATTTATAAGAACCACGACTCGTTTAACCGTATCCAGCGAGGAGACGGTAATCAGGGTCAGGCAAGCGGTTAGGGTCAGCTATACACACATACATTTACTCACATATATACATTTTCTAGCTATCTACGTATATCTATCTATACATATATATTACAAACTTGAAGCACACATACAACAGTTTATCTATACCTAACAAATGAATACTCTTTATATATAATATATAAAAAATATATACACACAGGTCTGTTATTTATACACGTACATGTAAACTGTTTACAGATACATACACATAAATATATATATATAAACGTAATATCCCTCACTTTTTGTTCGCGAATACAGCCATACATTCTTGAACACAAGCACATTTATAGGTATGACACACACACAGAAATATATATATATAAACGTAATATCCCTCACTTTTTGTTCGCGAATACAGCCATACATTCTTGAACACAAGCACATTTATAGGTATGACACACACACAGAAATATATATATATAAACGTAATATCCCTCACTTTTTGTTCGCGAATACAGCCATACATTCTTGAACACAAGCACATTTATAGGTATGACACACACACAGAAATATATATATATAAACGTAATATCCCTCACTTTTTGTTCGCGAATACAGCCATACATTCTTGAACACAAGCACATTTATAGGTATGACACACACACAGAAATATATATATATAAACGTAATATCCCTCACTTTTTGTTCGCGAATACAGCCATACATTCTTGAACACAAGCACATTTATAGGTATGACACACACACAGAAATATATATATATAAACGTAATATCCCTCACTTTTTGTTCGCGAATACAGCCATACATTCTTGAACACAAGCACATTTATAGGTATGACACACACACAGAAATATATATATATAAACGTAATATCCCTCACTTTTTGTTCGCGAATACAGCCATACATTCTTGAACACAAGCACATTTATAGGTATGACACACACACAGAAATATATATATATAAACGTAATATCCCTCACTTTTTGTTCGCGAATACAGCCATACATTCTTGAACACAAGCACATTTATAGGTATGACACACACACAGAAATATATATATATAAACGTAATATCCCACACTTTTTATTTGCGAATGAAGTCATATAGACTTGCACACAAGCACATTTATAGGTATGACACACACACAGAAATATATATATATATATATAAACGTAATATCCCTCACTTTTTGTTTGCGAATATAGCCATACATTCTTGAACACAAGAACATTTATGGGTATGACACACACACAGAAATATATATATATAAACGTAATATCCCTCACTTTTTGTTCGCGAATACAGCCATACATTCTTGAACACAAGCACATTTATAGGTATGACACACACACAGAAATATATATATATAAACGTAATATCCCTCACTTTTTGTTCGCGAATACAGCCATACATTCTTGAACACAAGCACATTTATAGGTATGACACACACACAGAAATATATATATATAAACGTAATATCCCTCACTTTTTGTTCGCGAATACAGCCATACATTCTTGAACACAAGCACATTTATAGGTATGACACACACACAGAAATATATATATATAAACGTAATATCCCTCACTTTTTGTTCGCGAATACAGCCATACATTCTTGAACACAAGCACATTTATAGGTATGACACACACACAGAAATATATATATATAAACGTAATATCCCTCACTTTTTGTTCGCGAATACAGCCATACATTCTTGAACACAAGCACATTTATAGGTATGACACACACACAGAAATATATATATATAAACGTAATATCCCTCACTTTTTGTTCGCGAATACAGCCATACATTCTTGAACACAAGCACATTTATAGGTATGACACACACACAGAAATATATATATATAAACGTAATATCCCTCACTTTTTGTTCGCGAATACAGCCATACATTCTTGAACACAAGCACATTTATAGGTATGACACACACACAGAAATATATATATATAAACGTAATATCCCTCACTTTTTGTTCGCGAATACAGCCATACATTCTTGAACACAAGCACATTTATAGGTATGACACACACACAGAAATATATATATATAAACGTAATATCCCTCACTTTTTGTTCGCGAATACAGCCATACATTCTTGAACACAAGCACATTTATAGGTATGACACACACACAGAAATATATATATATAAACGTAATATCCCTCACTTTTTGTTCGCGAATACAGCCATACATTCTTGAACACAAGCACATTTATAGGTATGACACACACACAGAAATATATATATATAAACGTAATATCCCTCACTTTTTGTTCGCGAATACAGCCATACATTCTTGAACACAAGCACATTTATAGGTATGACACACACACAGAAATATATATATATAAACGTAATATCCCTCACTTTTTGTTCGCGAATACAGCCATACATTCTTGAACACAAGCACATTTATAGGTATGACACACACACAGAAATATATATATATAAACGTAATATCCCTCACTTTTTGTTCGCGAATACAGCCATACATTCTTGAACACAAGCACATTTATAGGTATGACACACACACAGAAATATATATATATAAACGTAATATCCCTCACTTTTTGTTCGCGAATACAGCCATACATTCTTGAACACAAGCACATTTATAGGTATGACACACACACAGAAATATATATATATAAACGTAATATCCCTCACTTTTTGTTCTCTGAGTCAGTGAGCGGGACATATTCACAACACTGATTAACTAATATGGACAATTGTCTTAGGGATTTCTGGTTCGATATTTCTGATATATATTTTTCTTATTTATTAAAAAAAAACTAATGGACGTAAGAAAATTTGTTTATGCAATGATTTGAAATATTTTTTTCTTCCAAATTTCCATCGTTTTCTCCTCTTTTTTACCATTTTTTATTTATTTTTTTATTCTCCCTCTTCTGACATTTCCCTTCTCTCCAGTCTTTTCCTGCAATCTCTGTAAACCAAATTAGAATTGTTTCTCTCTTCATTTATTTATATAAATTTACATTTGTCTTTTAATTATTTTGGTTGCGGTAAATAAATATATATTTATAAATGATAACTAGATATAAATGTATAAGTACGCGTATTGTGGATTCTATAAACGATCATACTCCTAGGTAAGGATACTCATACCGTAAAATAATTCGTTCAAAGAGTTTATTTCAGAAGAAACAGAAAAGAAAACAGAAAATAAGGAAGCCTTCTCATGTCCAAAAACCTACAGATCTCCTTAGTCATATCTAGCATCTTCATCCGTAGAATCCGCCACGATATCCTCCGTATCCAAAGCCCCCGTATCCGTAGCCACGACCTCCGTATCCGTATCCAAGTCCGCCCAACCCGTATCCACCATATCCCAATCCACCGAAGCGACGGTAGCCGGGGTCAGCCACGGGGTCAGGGTAAGCTACAGGGTCAGGCTCAGGCATGGCGCTGCTCCAGCTCAGCAGGCATGCCAGGGCCACCACCAGGACCGCAACCATCGAGAACTGAAGGCATGAAAATATTTAAGTTGCAAGTTGAGCATTATCTAAGGACAAGGCGAATTATTAGACGCACATATAATTATTCATTAAGAAAGAAAACTCAGAGCTTGAAATACTATCAACAGTTACTTAAATCCCAGCAAATATTTCTCTACATCCAAGACATCAGCTTACTGGTTCACTCACCTGCTTCATGTTGTGAGTAAGATCTTACTATGTACTGAGCGAAGGAAGCAAAGACTATGCTCCTTATCCCCGTTGGATCCAAGCTTTTATAGGGTGCAAGACAGTAGCACTCACGCGTTCACTGTTTCCGGAAAGTCCTTGAGCAACGTTGGGAGGTCCACCTCAATCCTTTTTGTCCTAAACGTAATATCCCACACTTTTTATTTGCGAATGAAGTCATACGTATATATATGTTTCTAAACATAATGTTTGCGAATATAGCC